CCCCAAAACCCCAAAACCCCAAAACCCCACTATTTATATAAATTACTGAAAATTTAAATGGCTTCAAATAAAGGTAGTGGCTTAGTTTTACGTACCTCTTTGGTCTCTAAACTTCTACAGCAACTATTGAGAGTAACGAATTAGACCAGGATGAAGAGTATGTCAATAGTCTAACATTTAGTTCACGGCGAAGAACTTCTCTAGCTATTTCTACAAGAGGTTTAGATCGTAAATAAAAATAAAACTTTTATTGACTCTAAAAAATCAAGTTTTCATCAAATTGCACTTCAAAGGCAAGATTCCAGCCCTTCGAAACTTGGAAATGGCTCCCCATGTAAGCTGAAGCCTGTGAACTTTAGTGAAATTTGAAAGAAGGAGAGAATCATTGTATTATGAGAGCATTCAGAAGAAAATTTATGATCAGATAACTCATATTCAGGAACGGGAAATTATTGATAATAAGGTCAGAGCTCTGAAAAGAGTTAAGCTGTTTGAGAATCTTGATGAAGATACTATTGAGAATTACTCATACTTGATAGAAGAGATAAGCTACAAGCAGAATGAGCATTTATATAAATAAGGGAGATTTAGTTGAGTACCTTTATATCATTTATCAAGGTGAGTTTGAGGAATCTATCCCAGCAAAGGAAGCAACAACAATCTCTCCAAATTCTAAAGCAATACAATTTTTACCTAGAAAGTCAACATATTTTGATGAAATGAAACTGTTGGAAGCAAAGACTAAGATTTCGAGAGTAACTCCAGGAAATATTTGTGGTGATATTGAAATTTATGAACACAAGAGTTGATATATCTCTTCGGTCAAATGCGTCAGTCCTGAAGCACTTGTCTTCAGGATGATTCTCAGAGACTTCCAGTTCATCCTCAGTAGTATTTTCATATCAACGATCTTTGAGGAAGAAGCAAAGAGGAAGTTAGAAAGGAACAATAGTAAGTATCCCTAATTTATATATAGAATTCATGCTTTCGGATTCCAAATTTGACCAAATCCATAGAGCCGAGGCTAGTCAAGAAAGCTTATTTAAGACAAAATGTAGTAATAAGAAGATTATTTACCAAACCACTGGTAGATATGGGTATAAAAGGTAAAGCCAGTTTGAAATTATTGATTCATGGTGTATAGTTTCTCAAAGAATAATCTTACCAAGCACTTGGCTCCGAGAAGAGAAAATGACGAAACAGTCCAGCAGGACAAACATCAGAGCATTAAAGACAATATCTTTTATAAGTAAAATATTAGTTGTTATTTCCAGAGATAACGTTCCTTTGAGAAATATCAGCACTGTTGCAGGTAGAAGGTACTAGTCAATGTTTATCATAGACAAAAATTAATACAGAAGAAGATAAGCCTTCTTCAGCCATACGCTAGATATCATGAGAGAAGAATTTCAACTTCTGAAAGTAGGTCATCTGGAATTATTTCATAGATCAAAGAGTTAAAGTAGTCAAAGCAGTTAGCTCTGAAGGGAAATATGCAACCCAAGGTAGCTCAAAGTGCTAACCTCTAGACTTCCTATCAGAAAATGCTATTATGAGTGATAACAGGAGGAATGTGCTAGAAAGAAAAATTAAATCATCTCTGAAGTAGAATAAATCCTTAAATTGTAGGCATCAGATATTATACTCAGTTTCTCCTGAGAAAATAGTTGAGCACTATCATTCAGTCAAAAATCTAAATATGATCAGGAATAAGATGATGAAGGGAGAAAACCTGTTCAAGCCTAATGCAGAGCAAGTTACTGGACAGGCTGAAGGTCCAAAACCAACTAACAAAGTGAAAAACTTTGATACTCAAAATACTACCTCAAGCAAGGACTCTGAAGAGACCTCTTCAAGAGCGACCAGTAATATTTTTCATGAGATTCCCATTAAGCGAGTGACTAAGACCGATAAGATCCTGAATAAGATGGAGCTAGGAGAATACACAGATATGATCTTTTACCCAGTAACTAGATCAAAACAAAGGAGAGTCGACCATTCCAATAGTCAAGAGGTAAGCTGTAAAATTTTCTTGGTTAAATAAAATCTATAGAATTTAAGTAATGAGAAAGACCATCGAGCACCTAAGGTGAGGGTCAAGAATAGGAAAAGAAATAAGAAGTCGAAAATAGGAAGAGAAGGCAATAATATGCTAAGAGGAGCCATTCCTATTATACAGCCTTGCTTTACTAAGAAGCCTTTAGTATCTAGAAGGAATACGAAGAGGTCAACTACCTTTATTAAAGCTTTTGTGTGAAGGTAAGTTTAGGAAGAGAAAAAATCGCAATGACTCTGATTATTTGATTCTTGCCTATTTTTTATTAGAAATTAGATAGTGTTGTGAATTTATTACATCGCATTCATCTTTAGACTTCCGCTAAAAAGTAAATGAATTTTGAGCAAAAGAAAATAGAGTAGTAAATTATTAAAAATTGTTTTAAAATACCTCTTCATCTCTCTTATAGACCATTCACTAAGGACGCTCGTCGTGAAAAGCCTCTATCCAGCTCATTCAGATCATCTTCTCAAAATCTAAAAGTCATAGGAAGTCAATCTAAACCTCAGGATGCTCTCCAGCCATCTAAAATTGCCTCAGAGGTCTCTAAATCCCCAGTATTCTTCTTCTAATCTTTAGCTGAACATTTCACTTAGCAATAACCACGCTATTGAAACTAACAAGAATTTCACCATCTTCTTGAACCAGAGGTTGAAGAAATCCATGGTTTAATTTTAACTGAGCTAATCATGAACTAAGCCTAGTCCCTGATCCTTATTATTCCTACATGTAGCACAGATCTACTAGTTTAGTTCCTATTTCTCAAATATATTCATGGGCTAAAATCTCAATTTGATACACCTTGATACTTTCAGATAGAACAAAATTCAGACCCTTTAAAGGTTTTAGGGCCTGCTTTGCTTAATTTTAGGCAATTTTAAGTCAGATTTGAGAGTATTAGAAGAAACAAGGGTTTAAAAATTTGTACTATGTTTGTAAAATAAGAGGGAAGTTAGGAATTAAAGTCTTAACTACTCATTCAATGTTAAAGATAATCTCCGGGGTTTTGGGGTTTTGGGGTTTTGGGGTTTTGGGG